GATACAAGCTAATCCATCTATTAATTTACTGGGGACAAAACTTCAAATAAAAAAAAAAAAAAATACATCAATTCAAAGACCAAAGCAGTAATTTTCTCCATATAATCTTAACCTCTATTTGGTGTTTTTGTCTAATAAATTGTAATCCCTGTATCTTTTTCACAGCAGATTTTGTAAAAACAACCAAATGGCTGAAGAGAATTTCACAGTGGTTACTGAGTTTATTCTTTTGGGCCTGACAGATCAGGCTGAATTGAAAATTGTGCTTTTTGTGTTGTTTCTGGTGATTTATGTTGTTACCTTTGTGGGAAATCTGGGCATGATCTTCGTAATCCACATCACCCCCAGGGTGCACACACCCATGTATTTTTTCCTCAGCTGCCTCTCTTTCATAGATGTCTGTTATTCATCTGCAATTGCGCCCAAAATGCTGGTAAACCTCCTGGTTGTGAAGGGAGCCATATCATTCCTTTCTTGCATGGTGCAGCATTTGTGTTTTGGGGTGTTCGTTACAACAGAAGGCTTCTTGCTGTCCGTGATGGCATATGACCACTATGTTGCTGTTGTGAACCCTTTGCTTTACATTGCAGCCATGTCTAAGAGAAAGTGTGTAGTGCTGGCCACTGGCTCATGGCTGTGTGGAACAACTACCTCATTAATACACACAGTAAGCTTGGGGAGACTGTCCTTCTGTGGACCAAATGTTGTCAGCCACTTCTTCTGCGATATTCCCTCACTGTTAAAGCTGTCATGCTCTGATACCTCCATGAATGAGTTACTGCTGTTAACCTTCTCTGGAGTCATTGCCATGGCCATCTTCTTGATCGTCATCATTTCCTACATGTTCATTGTTGTCGCTGTTCTGAGGATCCGCTCAGCAGCGGGCAGATGGAAAGCCTTCTCCACCTGTGCCTCCCACCTGATTGCTGTGACCGTCTTCTATGGGACCTTGAGCTTCAGTTACATTCAGCTGAGCTCCCGATATTCTGTAGAAAAGGAGAAGGTGGTTGCTGTGTTCTACACACTAATGATTCCCATGTTGAACCCATTGATTTATAGTCTGAGAAACAAGGAGGTGAAGGATGCGATGAAAAGAGCCGTAGAAATGAGGTATTGATCCTGAAGCCAAGTGGAATCCAACTTCAGCCTGGATCCTCAGTTGAAGGCAGATAAGTAAATACAATAACTCAGTTCCTTAACAACTGAATAAAATGAAAGCTCATTTATCACCCCCACCTTGATTAAGACAAATAGGCGGATACGGTATGTCATGCTTATTCCACATTCTGTCTGTTACCTTGGTTGGAGGCAGATAAGTAAACATGATAACTCAGTTCCTTAATAACTGAATGGAATGAAAGGTCAATTCACACATCCTCTCCATGTTACCCCCTTGAAACAGGTGATAAGTATGTTAATGTGTGTTTCAGGAAACAACTTGAAAAATAACGTTGGTGCACGGACATGCACAGTGGGACAAATGGGCACAAAGTTGTTGGGAAGTGACATTTTCCCTCTTGTTCATCCTGATAGACCATTAAAGATTCCACCAATCAGTTTTCACTTACTGACGTTCACACAAATTCTATGAATGAATGGTAAGGGTCTAAGGTTTGCGCCGATTCTTTCAATTTGTCAACTTATTTGTCATATGAGGAGGCAGTTATTTAACTCATATAGCTGAGGAGGAGTAACTATGAGTCAGGTTCGACTGGACTGCACACAACAACAACAAGCTGCATTATATACATAAAAAAAGCCCCTCACTTTAATCTTTGAATCACTACAAAATACAGCATTACATTTATATTAATCTGCTGTACTAAGAAAATATGTATATTTAATACTCATATTAACAATAGGAAAAAGTGAAGTACTTTGTGAGAAAGAAGATGGTCTTTGAATTTCTAAGAAAATGGGCATAATTGTTTGACTACAATGTGCCTTCACTTAAGAATTTCAATTATATTTTAAATATTCAAACTAACCAACTGACTAGCTCACTGCCATACAGTCATATCTGACTCATAGCGACCTCTCCTTGGGTTTCCGAGACGGTATTAGTATGGAAGTAGATTGCCCAACTTTCCTTCCGAGGAGTGGCTGGTGGGTTTGAACCTCCATCCTCCTGGCTAGCAGTCAAGTGCCTCAGGCACTACTACGCCAAAAAGAGAATAATTTGTTTCCATTTCAGCTTTAAAAAAAAGAAAAAAAGAGAAAGAAATGTTGTT